ATTTATGGAAATTTGCCAGTCCACAAGGTTAAGGAACAATGTAATCTAAGCAATAAAATAATTCCTCTTGGACGAAATATTTGGTGCAAAAAATATTGTAAGTCGATGAGAGATTCTACTGCAAACTGTATCATTTTCATTGACATCCAGGAGGAGTTTCAGGCTCCCAAAAAATAAAAAATAATTTAACGAACTCATTTCAAGTCTGTCAGTTCAAGTCTGTAAAAATTTTAATAGACTTTGTTGGTCTGCAGAAAATCTTCTGGGAATTTGCTGGTCTACAAAAAAATTTATGGAAATTTGCCAGTCCACAAGGTTAAGGAACAATGTAATCTAAGCAATAAAATAATTCCTCTTGGACGAAATATTTGGTGAAAAAAATATTGTAAGTCAATAAGAGATTCTACTGCAAACTGTATCATTTTCATTGACATCCAGGAGGAGTTTCAGGCTCCCAAAAAATATAAATAATTTAACGAACTCATTTCAAGTCTGTAAAAATTTTAATAGACTTTGTTGGTCTGCAGAAAATCTTCTGGGAATTTGCTGGTCCACAAAAAAATTTATGGAAATTTGCCAGTCCACAAGGTTGGGGAACAATGTAATCTAAGCAATAAAATAATTCCTCTTGGACGAAATATTTGGTGCAAAAAATATTGTAATCAATAAGAAATTCTACTGATGCAAACTGCATCACCTCCGTTGACATTCAGGAGGAGTCTCAGGATCCCAAAAAAAATTTAACGAACTCCCAATTTTTTTTTTCGGCTCGAGTACATCAACTGAAGAGTGAAAACTGTGAGTATATTTTCCTTATAGTCTCTCGTTGAGTGAGTTCGTGAATCATGAGATTCATGACTGACTGACTGACTGACTGAGTTCACCTCTTCGACCGACGAGACGAAGCACGATGTCGTCGGACCGATGATGGAAGAACTCTCCGTTGCGAACCAGGGCTTCGTGAATTGAGTCGTGGTCATTGATGGCGACCAAATGACCACCAGGCAGCGTCAAACTCACCACGGGTCCGTATGCCTTGGACAAATTCATGAACAATTTCGCAGCATTCGATTCCTTGAGCATCAGCGGCAAATTTCCTGATGAAGCAAATTAAACACAATTATGTCTACTGTATTAGCTTTCGAAATTTTGAAATTTGGAATTTTAGAAACGATGAAAAGAATATTTTGAGCTCGGAATAATCAATTCCAATGCTTGAAAAGTCCTCAACCAATTTTCTTCGCACACAAACAACTCATTTAGCATTAAATATTTGAGTCCATTAATTAGGTCAGTGTTTCCAACCTTTTCTGGTCCCATGGACCGGCAAATTTCCAAAATATTTTCTGTTTTCTCAGAACAGAAAATATAATGTTTCATTCGTTTCCTCAGGTCATTTTGATTGCGTCAGGGTTCGCCAAATTAGGATATTTGCAATACAGTGGGAACCCGAGATTTGGACGCATCTGGTGCTTGGACCTTGTCTTTAAGTCAGAACGTCCGCATGTCGAATCACGTTTTCCCACAATAGGCCTCAATGGAAACGTATTTAATTGGTTCTCTAGGTCAGGGTTCCCCAACCTTTTTGCTCCCGCGGACCCGCAAATTAAAAAAAAAAAATCTGCGGACCAGAAAAGTTTCATAAAATTTTCTAAGGACCAGCAAATATTCATAACATTATTGTATGCTCAAAAAAGTGTTGCTTGAAAGACAGCTTGAATAGCAGGTATTTGAAAAGCTTCTGCGTTTTTGGCAAAATTAAATCAGGAACCAATGAAGCAGCTCTAGTAAAAAGTCTTCAAAAAATGGAAAGGTGGGCTTGAAGAAAGGTTTTTCAGACTCAAAAATTAAAATAATTTATCAAATCAGGTAAAAATTTGTCTGAATGAGAAAAAATTTATCGAATCAGTTAAAAATTAGGAGAAAAGCCAAGATATATTTTTCATGAGATAATTTAAACTGCCATTGTCTTGCCAAAAAATAAAAAATAAAGATACTGTCACGTCCTTCAATTTGTGAAAAATTCATTAGCCTGGAGAAACTTCCCGCGGACCGGTAGAAAACGTATGCGGACCGGCGCTGGTCCGCGGACCACGGGTTGGGGAACACTGTATTAGGAGATTAAACCGAAATTGGCAATACAGGTTTTTTAATTTTTTTTTTACTAGCCAAATATGAAGAAAAAATTTACTACAGGCCAAGCTTTTGTCAGGGTGGATCTTAGTGATTTGCAAAAAATCAGATTTGCTCTGATTTTTACATTAGTTGACAAAATAAAATGTAAACATTGCTTTTTTTTAAACTTGCGAGTGGGATTTTCTTTCCCATTTATTCGAACTGCATTTATCTACATAAATTGTGCATTTTTGTACACAGTACAGTGAAATCCCATTACAGCAAACTCGCAGGGACCTGAGAAAAAATTACCTATTACTATAAATATGATTTTTAAAGTATAATATGATTTTTAAAGTATAACAGATAACTTGGCACAAAATCAGGGCCAAAATTGGTTTTAATGATATAAAAGCTTAAAATGAGTTCATTAAAATGATATTCTTTGAACATGTGACCCATGGAGGAATTCCTAGGACCAAGAAAGAAAAAAAATCACTGTAACAAAAAGTTTGTTGTAACGAGATCTTTCGTAACTGAATTTTACTGTATCGTGATGTAGAGTAAATTATTGTACATTCCTGCTTTTAATCCTCGGTCATAAATTAAAATTAACTTGCTTTATTTTAGGATTATCTTCACTTTTTTTCATTTTTAGCATTTTGTTGTTGTTAGTTTCTCCAATGAAGTTGAGGTAATCAACGTTAATTATAATCTCGAGAAAAAAATGATGTCTCACCAATCAGCGGATATCCCGGGGGTCCAGGCGGAAGCTTGCCTCTCCTGGGAACTCGCCATTTCAGGAACCAATCGGCAAACGCAAGGACGCCAAAAATCGCTGCAAAAATCGCACTCGTTATACCGAATACCATTTTTTTTTAAATTTATTATCTGTGCAATTCTGATGCTGAACGCCGAATGAAGCTGGTTGTGGTAGACGGCAATCCATTTTATCTGGTTTCGAAAGCCACTATTTTGTACAAAAAATATTAAGACGCTTATTATTGTTGAAAGAGATTTATTTTTAATTTCTGGTGGTAAAGTTGTTGGCTTCTTTACATAAGAAGGTAAACCCATTTTGTTGTTGTTGTTGAGGGGATGACGATCTGGCTTTTGATAGTGATGGAAATTCTCTGAAAGGATCCTTTGTTGAACATTTTGTCCTTTTCCCCTTTTCTCTATGAATGGACAACGCTTCCGAATTCTGCTTTCTTCACGAAGTAGTTCCAAAAGTCTTTTTTTTTTTTGTGTGCATTCAGCCAGAATTCTCCGCTTGAATCATGGCTTTGAAGAGAGGAAAAAGGGGCAAATATTCTGGGTTCTTTTGTATACCAGCGCAATTTCAAGAAAAAAGCACAGTCATTCGGAATATATATATATTAGAGTGCTTTTCAGGAAAAGTTGGTTGTGTGCTTCACTCTGCAATAACTAATGAATCAATCTTTGAATTAATTTCCAAGTCAGCCATATTTGATTTTGAAGCAAGGAATAAAAAAACCATCAATGAAGTATGCACCTGCAGATCATTATTTGCAGTTTGCAAGATGAAATGATGAAAAAAATGTTGCTGATTCAACTTCAATGATGCTTCAAGATGGGCATTCCTTCAGAATCTTTCTAAAAACTCTGATAAGATAGAAACTAGTACAGTACTATATACGGCACAAATGGGACAAAGCAGTTTAACTTTGCCTCATTTGGTTTGAGGCAAAGTGAATTCCATCCTTTATTGCGGAAATCGGCAACAACAAAAAATTGTGGAACCCTTTGAAAAAGAGATATGCAGCAGAAACTCTGAACCATCAAGTTTATATAATGAAAATATTCTCAGGTACTGTGATGATTGCTCGGAATAGTGGGAAACATTTTGAGGCAAGACTGACTAGGGTTCAAATCCCAGAAAAGGTTTTTTGTTCTGATTGCGGCTTCACCTGAATGAGACCATTTCCTCCACTGATTTGGAAAAGAATAAATGATCACTAAATAACAATAATTTTGTATCTGTTAGTCCCATTTCCTCTACTGGCTCCATAGCTGCTACTTCTTCATTTCTCCATTATTTGCTATTTTAGTACTTTCTGTACTCCATTTGGAGACAACATAAATTCTATAACAAAATGGTAAGCCCTTTTTCTACTATTGCATTCATTCTCATCAAATTGAAATGATTTGTCCAGAATTACGTTAAAAGTTAGGGAACTGGAAGTTTCTTGTGGGTGTTTCCCACAGCACATAACTGCTGCTTTTTTCCAGTTGAAAAGATGCGTTCCTCAATTTTTCTCTAGACTAGCATACAGTAATTGGGTCTAACTGATCCAAAAAGAATGGAGTCTGATTTTCCCAACAAAAAAATGAATTGGAGCATTATCTACATTCTACACTCTACAGCTTAGGATAAACCATTTATCTTCAAGAGTTAACTTACATTTAATTCACCCATTTACACTGAATAAAATGCACAAAACATTCGTGGTGTGTCTCATAAATAAGTTGACACAATATTTGAAAAGAGGGGAAATTCTGTGCGTGGATCCAAGTGACATCTGCCTGCAACTGTCACAAACTGAGCAGGAGCGCGTTCATTCGATGGCCAAGTATACACGAGTATAGGTGTCGCTCGCAAGCACCCTGAACCTGAAATTGACCCACGCAGCCTCAATACTTCCCGTTTCCTTCTGATTCGCAAGCAGCTCATTCCGTTCGTGTTCGTTCCATATGCACTTTCGTCGTTCGAATCAGCTGAATCCTGGGATCCAAAGTCACATCCGATGTCCTGTGACATTCACGCTGCACATGGAGCAGAGCCCATTTCCTGCACACACAAAACACGTCCGATACTCGAGTTAAGTCCAGTAGATCATGAGTAAGGAAGGAAGCAAGCAACCTGTGTGGCGTTTTCCAACAATTCCATTTTTCATATCCAAAAAACCAGAAAATTCGCGACCGATCGGATAAATTCTGTTCCATCGCATTCACACTCAGAGAAAAAAGAAAGATAAAGAAAAAAAACACGCACTCTTCGGAAATATTCTCAAACAAACAAACAAACACTTTTCAATGATTTTACAAACGAACAAAGGAAAAAAATGCATCCACATTCGCACGATTCCCTTCTTCTCCCGACTCCGCGAGGAACTCACTATCACAGCTATCAAACAAACAAACCAAACAAAATAGTAATAATCTGCCCCCGAAAAATATGTGTAAAAACCGAGGACACTGTTGTTGAGATTCCACACACGAAGATGTAACTCCAAAGCATCCAATTTGAAGAAACCTAAAGAATTGCCCGAATTCTCTTATCCACTTATTTTTTTTTTGCAGGGGCCACAGGCAGCAAAGAAACTGGAAAAGGCAAAAATGACAAAAAGGAAAAGAAAACTACGCCGATAATATTTCCCACCCATCTTTTTTTTTCTCCTAAACAACATCGACAATTCCCTTTTACTTTGCTTTCCCCTGCTCATTCTTCTTCCTCTTCCACCTTCTTTTTTTCTCTTACTCCTTTTTTTTCTTCTTTTCTGATCACATTCGCCCAAAAACAGCGAGGAAAAAACACTCATTTGTTTGTTTGTTTCGTCATAGTAAAAAAAAAAAAAAAGGTACACTTGACGTCGTCTCCGCTCTTCTCTTCGCCTCTCGCTTCATTCGTTGGAAACCAATCCCAGATTGAAAAATAAGAGAAAAAACATTAAAAAAAAAGCAGCAATGATAATGATGCACAATAATCATGAAAAAGAAGGCGGAAAAGATTTCCATCCCTGACCGAGGGAGGGAAGGAAAGTAAGCACAGCACAGTACCGATCATCAAGTGATAGACAGAAGTGAAGGAAGAAACAAAATACCACATGCTGAGGAGGCGAGACGGAGAAAACAACGAGACGAGTAAAAAACTCTTGGATTTCTCAGTTCCAACGAGAGACACGCGCTTCTTATTCACGATAATCAAAAAACACCATCATCATCATCATATAGTCATAATCATCAAAAAAATGTTCATCGCACTCCCAAATCGAAGGGGGGGGAAGGGGAGGAAAGGGGGATGTGTGTGAAGGCAGAGAAAATAAAACCCAAGAGCAACGACGAAGACGACGACGACGACGTTTTCTGGTGCAGAGAGTGAGTTTTCAATTGACTTGACATTTGAGAAAAATGACGTAACGAAGAAAGCCTGAGTGAGTGAGTGAGTGAGTGAGTCGATGAGTGAATAAATGAGGTCGCATCACAGGATTGAGCAGGACATGGAGCAACATGTGCTGCCTCGGCCCTTGGACTTGTGCCGCTGGTCTGCAAAAAAAAATAAAAGAATAAAGGAAATTAGACTTTCATCCCCCGTTTGAATTCTCAAAATTGATTCGACTGAAATCACCTTGCGAATTTGGCTCGGGCAAGTTCTCTCTGGGCACCAAATGCATGACCGTCGTCTTGCCCTGGTGCAGCCCCAGGGCACCCAGTGTCACGTCGCCATGGAGGAACCGGCCCTGGTAGATGAGGCGCAGGATCTCGGCCTTGCCAACACCTTCCTCTGCCCACTCTGTGTTCGGAACAAAAAACAAGAGAGAGAGAGGGAAATGATGAATCAGTATACAGTAGGTTCTTGCATCAATTCAACCATAAAGACAAAAAAAAAAAAGAATTAGTTTTCCGTGAACAGACTTTAAGCATTCCAATTGGGGGAAGAACAATCAGAATACAGTGAGACCCCGAGATTCGGACGTAATTGGTGCATCGTCAAGAGCGTCCCTACGTCAAAATGTCCCTAAGTTGAGTCTCATTTTCCCTTAGACTTACATTATATAATTTTTAATTGGTCTTTTATGTACAAAATACTCCCCATAATTCCATGAACATAAAAATTGTCTCCCAATTTAAACTGGTTTAATCAATATATTTCAGCACAATGTCGACATTTGGGGAATTGAATACAGATAACTCTGTACAGTACATAGAAATGTTGGCATTCTCTGTAAAAAAAAAATAATGTTCAAGTGAAAAAGGGAGAAGGAAGTAATTTTTTTAGATTAGTTGAATGGATGGTAAATTGGTGAGAGAAATGCCCAAGAACTTTTCATACATCAATGAAAATGGCGGAATTACCTTGGAAGACCTGGAGGCAACCCTTGGGAATTAATGCCACGTTGATTTCAAGAATTCTGAGGGGAAAGCTGGGCTAAAACAACAAAATCTGAAGGAAGGGCGCCTCATCTTTTGAGTGAAGAGCAAAAATCTGTCACGGTGAATTTTGCAAAACATTCCGAAAAAAATTTGTTGAACAGGGCTGTTTATTTGTGTGCCAAAGAATATGTTTTCCCAAAAGAATAATTTTTGTTTTCAGCTCGATTATACGCCATTTTCATTGCTATTCCGAGAACTTTTGTTAGAACCCTCGTACGCACTAGTTCGCTCGAGTAAACGGAAAAATGTAAAAATTCATCTCTATTTATCCCCCAACCCCCACCGTCATCTCGTAACTTTCTCGCAGATAAAAATTAGTTCTTTTCTTTCTTTCCAACGCCACGAGACCACCTCATTAGTTTTTAAACATAAAACACAGCCCCCACAAGGAAATACAAAAATAAAAAAGAGAGAGAGAGAACTATTTCCTTCAAGAGAGAGAGATTTCAGCTTCCGCATCCGGAAAATGATTTCGACAACCGAGGCGCGCGGAAGTGGGGAATTTCGAGCTCACGAAATCACCGTGTATATACACCGGAGACGCCGCCGGTCAAAAAATCCGCCTCTTCCGTAAGAACAAAATAAAAAAACGGGTAGGTTTCATGATTGTAATGCATACAACAACCACACGCCCCTTCTTCCTTTATGATCCACAGTTAGCCAACAGAGGAAACGTATTTCAACGTGCTCCGTTCGGTGAGGCCTCCACATGCGGACAATTCGACATAGGGACACTTTTTTTTTTTAAAAGTAAATAATATTTTCAAACGGACCGACATGCGGACACTGGCTCGGCATAGGGACATTGTGTGCAAAAATTGCAAATAAGTTTCAGGCCAAATTACAAGAAACAGATATTTCCAACCCTAAAATTGATATAAGGAAAGTTCTTGGGCATTTCTCTCACCAATTAACCATCCATTTAGCTAATTAAAAAAAATTCCCCAAAGCATGAAAGGGACTTCCTTCTCTCTTTTTCAATTGAATATTATTTTTATAGAGAATGCCAACATTTCTATGTACTGTACAAAGGTATCAGTATTAATTTCCCCAAATGTCCATATTGTGTTGAAATATATTGATTGAATCGGTTTCAATTGGGAGAAAGTTTTTATTTTCATGGAATTATGGTGAGTATTTTGTGCATGAAATACCGAATAAAAATTATATAATGTAAGTCTAAGAGAAAATGACAGTGACTCAACATAGGGACATTTTGTGATAAAATTGCAAAAAAGTTTCAAACCAAATTACAAGAAACAGATATTTCCAAAGCTAAAATTGATTTATGAAAAGTTTTTGGGCATTTCTCTGACCAATTTACCATCCATTTAGCTGATTAAAAAAAAGTACTTCCAACATGGAGGGACTTCCTGATCTCTTTTTCCCTCGAATTTTATTTTTACAGATAATGCAAACATTTCTATGCACTGTACAGAGGTATCATTATTCTATTCCCCAAATGTCCATATTGTGTTGAAATATATTGATTGAATCAGTTTCAATTGGGAGACCATTTTTATTTTCATGGAATTAAGGTGAGTATTTTGTACATAAAAGACCAATTAAAAATTATATAATGTAAGTCCAAGGGAAAATGAGACTTAACTTAGGGACATGTCAACTTGGGGATACTCTTGAAGCACCAATTACGTCCGCATCTTGGGGTCTCATGTATTAAACTGTACCATGGAGTCCAACTTGGGCAACAAATGTTTAGAAGAAACAATTTCATTGCTTCAAAGCCCCACTATAAAAAAAAGGAAAAAATTCCTCTCACATGGAGTTTGAATTGCCTGCTACACTGTCTCCAGCATAAGGGATGTACTGTACATTATTCCCCATCCTTGAAGTCACTCATGCGCCCCCATGAAAGAGGGAGTGAATGAGGGGGGGAGGGGAGGGGAGGGAAGGGGCACAGCTCAGAGTCTAGGAGCCAAAGCATAAGGGATGTACTGTACATTATTCCCCATCCTTGAAGTCACTCATGCGCCCCCATGAAAGAGGGAGTGAATGAGGGGGGGAGGGGAGGGGAGGGAAGGGGCACAGCTCAGAGTCTAGGAGCCAACATGTTTTTTTGCTCCCGCGAGACTGGCCATCATCAAAAGGAAGAACGGCACAGTGCATCATGTTCACGTGACGCACTTTTCCTCTAGCATTATTGTGCACGGTAATAAAACGCACTCTTTTCTAATGTCGGCTACTGGAGCCAGTTTCCGGGACTTGACACAGGTGTCGCCTGCATGTCAAAGGAGAGCCCTGGTCGTCCAGTACAGTACAGGCTCTCTCGCTCCCAACAATCTCATCTACAACTAATTTCTCCACATAACGATTTTTTTTTGGTCCCATAGACCAGTGTTTCTCAATTTTTTTGGGCCTACAGATTGGCAAATGTCCAAAAAAAAAAATATTCTGTGGACCAGCAAAGGTTCAGACATTCGAAAAGTTTGTGCTTTTTTGAAGAAAAAATGAGTTGAGAAACATTCCTTTAATATCTTTAAAATTTAGATGTGGGCTTGAGGGTTTCTCAAAATGAAAAAAATTAATATAATTAATTTCAGCAGGTGAAAATTTTGCTTCCAGATTCTAAAAAGAAAAATCGACTTTTATTTTTCAACTAAAAATTAGAGAACTCGCCCCATGTTACAGAGGTTCTCTACAACGAAATTCTCTCCACAAGGAATTTTTCTTCGTCCCTTAATTTTTTTTCTTTGTAGAGGGAGTCCACCTGTATCATCATTGTCAACAACCACCACCACCCTCACCTCTGTCCTGAGTTCTTCTATTGCCCGCCTGAGAACAATATAAACATGACCAATCTCTTCCAGAAAACAACTTTTTGAAAAGCCCCGCTTCATCTGCCAACCCCTCTTTCTCCTTTTTTTTCCAATAAAAAAAGGAAAAAAGGAGGATAAGAGGAAGAAGTAAAAAAAAAAAAAAAAAAAAAAAAAACATTATTGTGCACGGTAATAAAACGCACTCTTTTCTAATGTCGGCTACTGGAGCCAGTTTCCGGGACTTGACACAGGTGTCGCCTGCATGTCAAAGGAGAGCCCTGGTCGTCCAGTACAGTACAGGCGGACTCTCTCTCGCTCCCAACAATCTCATCTACAACGAATTTCTCCACATAACGATTTTTTTTTGGTCCCATAGACCAGTGTTCCTCACTTTTTTGCGCCTACAGACTGGCAAAATTCCAAAAAATTTCTGTGGACCAGCAAAGGTTCATAAAATCTTTGCAGATGCAAAAAATTTTGTTTGAAAGACTTCCGGGCAGGTATTTGAAAATTTTGTGCGTTCTTCAAGAAAAAATGAGCAAAAAACCAATGAAGCAGCTATTGTAGAATATCTGTAAAAATTATATGTGGGCTTGAAGAAGGATTCTCAAAATGAAAAAAAGTTAATATAATTAATTTCAGCAGGTGAAAATTTTGCTACAAGATTATAAGAAGAAAAGCCTACTTTTATTTTTCAACTAAAAATTAGAGAACTCGCCCCATGTTACAGAGGTTCCCTACAACGAAATTCTCTCCACAAGGAATTTTTCTTCGTTCCTTAATTTTTTTTCTTTGTAGAGGGAGTCCACCTGTATCATCATTGTCAACAACCACCACCACCCTCACCCCTGTCCTGAGTTCTTCTATTGCCCGCCTGAGAACAATATAAACATGACCAATCTCTTCCAGAAAACAACTTTTTGAAAAGCCCCGCTTCATCTGCCAACCCCTCTTTCTCCTTTTTTTTCAATAAAAAAAGGAAAAAAGGAGGATAAGAGGAAGAAGTAAAAAAAAAAAAGAAAGAAAGACGGAAGGGTGTCTTCGCGAAATAGCGGCGAGTCAGAAAGCCACGAAAGTCTTCACACCCCCCCTCCCCCCATTAATTACGTAACTAATTCCTCTGCTTCCTTCTTCTTCCACGTCGTCCACACAAATACAGCAGATGATGATATTCCCTTCGTACATTAATTAGCAGACAGACCCCCCGCATTATGAATTCAGAGGCGACTCAAACGAAGGGGACAGGTGACGGTGAGGCTAACAAAAACAACAACACATCGCCACTCGTCGTCGTTGACCCCCACTCCCCCTTGGCAACCCCTCAATTCCTCCAACATCAATAAGAGAAAAAAAAACACCCATTCAATCGATCAAGGCATCATTTATTTTTATTTCATCGACAATCAGCCTGAACGCGTTCCACCTGAAGACGAGGATGAGAAAATGAAAGAAGTTTGATAAACCAGACAAGAGGCTTCTACACTTTGTATTACTCCGATCTCAGTCTAACTTCGAGTCGAATTTCAAGGAACCACCAAAATAAAAATAGAGTTAGGCAAGTTTCGAGTTAGGAAAGCAAGAGTATTGTCGTGGGAAAAATTGCAGAATTGCAGGAAATTATAAATTGTGATATTTTGGGTCTTGAATTTATTTGTGATTGAGTTTAAAGAATGCTGAAGTTGAAGACAGGGGTTCATTTGCCCAAATACTGTAAGTTGTGGCGGGATAATTAGATCATCAATAATATCATGTGTGTCAAATTATCTAAAATGCTCTGGAATAATTTAATTGGGCTGCCTTTAGAGAGCAGTCCATGTTATTTGAATGTTCCAACCATTAATTTATCCTTTTCAACCAATCAGGTGCAACAGTGCAGATTCCTAGAAGAGAGAGAGAGAGAGAGAGAGAGTGAAAACCATAGTTGACTGAATAACTAGTCAAAACCAGCACTTTCTGTTGAAAGTTTTTCTAAGCATCAGCACATGGTTTCTCAAGCATACAAACCCCTTTTGACATGAGTTTTGTTGGGTGCATTTTTTCTCCCCCCCCCCCCCCCCCCCCCCCCCCCCCTAC